TAAGCAATCAAATATGACGAAATGAGTCGAATTTACGGGGGCATTATTTCCTTGTGATTTATATTTGTAACACGTGGTTTTTCATACATGCAAGTGTTGTGATCACCAACGGAAGAACGTGGTGCAAATTTACTCAGGTCCTTGATAAGTGATCATATGGTATTAGGTGAAACAAACAGGTCACTGAAGATACCCATTTCAGCAACTGAGACAGCAGAAAATGGCAAAAAAGCTCTATTTTGATATATCCAACTTATAACAAATATTTTTCCTTATACATAAGAAAAGTGATGAGATACCAACCTTTTTGTGAAATTGCTTCTGCTCCCATGGTTTCCCGCTCGAATTCAGCTGCATGCGTTGGGATAAGCCCCTGCGTGACTTGCAAACCCGAACCGAAAATCGTCAAAACCGAACATGGCTGGTTTAACCTAGGTTCGTCTCAACCAAAGCTGTCCAGCAGCCTGTTTGTTTGTTAAAGTAATACAGAACATATCAACTCCACCATTTACATATGTGCACATTAACCAGAAGATGCCGTTATCGAGGAGGGACTTAGTCAATATTTCACAATTTCTCAAAACCGTTCGCCATTCGTCGGAAGTTAACTGCTTCTATTTGGTACATTCAAGGTAAACTCATACAGAAGGGGATTAAATGCTTAGCGGAGATGGAAACCGTTCCTTTTTTCAGAGTGCAGGGGCTGTTGAGATAAGCGGAAAACTGAGGGAACCTAAAGCAATTGATAGCAGTGATAAACGCAAGCGCAAATCTTCGGGTTAAAAATTATTGTCAAGGTCGCAGTGTTTGGTCGAAAACAGATTTGATAAAAGTCTCCCTGCCCAACGGGAAATTTCCCGTGGACCAGATATCTGATCTGACCGGATAACAGATAACAGATAACACCATGCACTCAGTTCACATGCTGGCTCCGCGTGTGTGTGTGTGTGTGTGTGTATGCATAAGTTCATCACATTTGTATACGCCAGTTTGATTGTGCTCAATGCCTTTTCTTATCGGAAACATGAACTCGAGTTACATTAAAAGATCTGCATGTGAAGGTTATTCCATGATAAGATAGTTTTGCTTGTTTGAGAAATACCAGTTTGGTGCAAGGTCGGAACGCGGGATGGGATGGGGGTAAATGAAACCACCCGAACAGAACTTAATGAAACACTTTCAGTGAATGACGTTCACTTCGTGGATGATGAACTTTTATCGTTTATCCAGTTGATTCGGATAGCTCATGGTCGATTCACTCGACAGCGGCAGACTGATAACGTTTGTGTGAAGGTGTCATTTCACGTCGTCATACAATATCCGAGGTTTTGTACCTTCCCTTTCATTTACCCAGAACTACTTGTGTATTCTGCCTCATCAGCAGTACACTGAACTGGCGAAGTAAAAATCGACTCACGGGACAGATCCCGCAGGAAACGAGACGTACCGATAGTTGACATAAGTGACAGAAATGGCGGATAAGCCAGTAACATGCGATCATCTGAATGAATTGAGTTCTATGTGCCAATTTCGGAGACTCTTTGGTGCTTGATAGTCATCAGCATCAGCCTCTAGCAATTGATGAAGTGAATGTGAAGGCAGAAGATCCTGTGGTTCTACAACGCAAGTTGTTTTGGGCATAACCAAGAGTCGAATAGGGTATGGAATTACTCCTTGTTTATAAGTGGATGCTCGCGGAGGATGGAGTTGCTATTGCGGGCTAGTTCGGCGATTTGACACGACTTCCACGATTTCGGATTACACACTGTGCCCTTGATCACGTGTAATCCTGTCAATAAACCTGGCACAACTTTCAAAATTCGATTTGCGGATGCTTTGATAATTGACAATGAGATCAGGCAGTTTAATTACCATAATCAATTGTACCCTTAGTTGTCTTCTTGTGTTGATGGAATGGATAAAGGGAAAAGGATGTTTACGTAACAAATATAGTGCATTATCAAAGCGTCCTAGGGGGGAGATCACATTGATGGGGCGGCGGTGGCCCAATGGTAACCGGTGGTCACCAAATTATCACCCCGAGGATGCGTGTTCGAATCCCACCACCACGGCCTGACTTTGCCCATTTGTGTGTGTTCAATGGCAGCCCTTTGATTGGCCACTTCTCCCTTCCTGAAAATTGTGTATTTGTATATTCAATAAAGGGAAGTAAGAAGGAAACAAATGAAGCTCTTCGTTTATCATCAGTAAAACCAGTAGCTAAAAAACACAATGTGAATTGTCCGTGTGTGTGTGTGTTTGCGTGTGTGTACTCCAGCAAGTATGGATCACAGGGCATGCAGGTGAATGAAGGCCGTCACGTTTATGATTAACAGATTATGCTATTGTGCGAGTGTGTGCACTGGTGTATGGGCGTGTGCGTGTGTGAATGCGTGCGTACGTGCGTGCGTGTGGACGAGTGGAGCAATGCTGGCTGCATGATGGCCACAAAGGTTTGATCAGAGTGCATCCGGGCAATAACGATGACTCCGCGCTACACAGCGAACAGTGTGAACGATAGGTTTGGGGAAAATCAATGAATGATGTAATGCAAAGGGTTGAATCACAAATATCGCTTGACTGGGTTCGTAAGGCTAAAAATCCAAAGTAGTATCAGGATTTGGATGCACCAACGTTCACGCGATGTTTATCCGATTCAGAAAATAGCCAGGTTTCAGAACAGATTTCAATGATCAGTACAGCATATAGACAGGTAATCGTCACATTTATGGTGATGGTACCTCCGTCTCTGTACTAGCTCCGCAGATAGCCGAGCATTGAAGTTGAACTGTTAATTGGAATTTGATTTGATGGCAGGTGGTGATTGCTTTTCTTTGACCAATGCCGATGTTATTCGGATGGTGGAAAAGATAATGATCGGGTCAATTGCGTAATCGACGTGCTTGTAGAGTTCAACCACTTGCAGACAACTTGTAAAAAGTGTGCACTCTCGGATATCTACAGAAAAGAGAGGCAGTCAAGTCAACGGACGGACGGACGGACGGACGAACACGACCCCGTTTTGGCTTAAGATACGGATGGACAACGAGTTTTTGACCGTTAGGTTATCGGCCAGGTAGATAAGATTTACATCTTCGCGGGCCCAACACGTGGTTGAGCCGCATCTACAACACAATAAACCCAAAGGTACAAAAATTAGCCAAGTCTATGCAAACAACATGAATGGTTGGTCAAATGAGCTGTACCTTGATGGTTAACCCCTCTCTCTCTCTCTCTCGCTCTCTCACGTTTTCCTGTTATTCTGTCATGTTGTCCGTTGTGGTTAGTTATCTTGTTTACGTCTTACGGTTATTTCTCTGCCTACAAAAATCACCTTGACCACAGTCAGTGTATACATGTATAAATAACCATGGATGTATGGTGCCAACCAATGTTTGTGACTTGTCCTATAAAAAAGC